AAAAAAAAAAAAAAAAGGTGTGATAACACATGCCTATAGTCTCAGCTACTCAGGAGGCTGAGGAAGGAGTAACGCTTGAGCTTAGGAGTTTGAGGATGCAGTAAGCTGTGATAATGCCACTGTACTCTAGCCCAGGCTCCAGAGCAAGACCCTGTCTCAAAAAGAAAAAAAAAAGAAAAAAAGACATAATTGACAAAGAAGTTTAGTTGTTTTCTGTGGCCTACAGCAATTTAACATGATAGTCATAATTATTACTGATAACATATCCTGAGACATATCAGAATTTTAGGAATATCATATAATTTTAGAACACATATTAATAACATATCCATACAAATATAACTTAAAATAGATTAAACATTGTTTCTTATTTAACAGTGCTTCCCATGTGATTCGAACATAACAAATGTACTTAATATATCTCCTGCGAGCTTCCAGGGGCCCTTCTGTGTGTCCGAAAGTTAGTTCGAGCTCAAAAGTACTTAATTTAGAATTTGAAATTTGATTTTGAAAAGGCTGTCAAGAGTCAGTGTTGCACTGTATAACAATGTTTCAGTCAATGACAGACCGCTTATACAGTGGTGGTAGAATAAGATTGTAATAGAGCTGAAAATTTTCTATCACCTAGTGATCTTATAGCCATTGTAACATTGTAGTGTAACACGTTACTCACATGTTTGTGGTGATGCTGGCGTAAACAAACCTACTGTGCTGTCCATCGTATAAAAGTATAGCATGTACAATTATGTATAGTACATAAGACTGTACTTGATAATAAATGACTGTTACTAGTTTATGTATTTTCCATGCTATACTTTTTATTTATTTTAGAGCATACTCCTACTTATTAAAAAAAAAATTAACCGTAAAACAGCTTCAAGCATGTCCTTCAACAGGTATTCCAAAAGAAAACATTGTTGTCATTGGAAATGATAGCTCGATGTATGTTATTGCCCCTGAAGACCTTCCAGTGTGACAAGATGCGGAGGTGGAAGATAGTGATATTGATGATCCTGACCCTGTGTAGGCCTAGGCCAATGTGTGTATGTTTTAGTTTTTTAACAAAAAAGTTTAAAAAGTAAAAAAAAATGTTAAAGTTTAAAACATAAAAATGTTTATAGATTAAGGACACAAAGAAGGAAAATACTTTTATACAGCTGTACAATGTTTTATGTTTTAAGCTAAGTTATTACAAAAGAGTCAAAAAGTTAAAAAAATGTAAAACTTCATAAAGTAAAAGTATTACAGTAAGCTAAGGTTAATTATCAAGAAAAAACTATTTTTTATAAATTTAGTATAGCATAAATATTCAGTGTTTATAAAGACTACAGTAGTATACAATAATGTCCTAAGCCTTCACATTCACTCACTGACTCACCCAGAGCAACTTCTAGTCATGCACACTACATTCATGGTAAGTGCCCTATACAGTTGTATCTTTTATACCATATTTCTAACTACCTTTTCTATGTTTAGATATGTTTGGATACACAGATAGTTACCATTGTGTTACAGTCACTTACAGTATTCAGTACAGTAACATGCTATACAGGTTTAGAACCTCGGAGTAATAGGCTATACCATCTATTAGGTTTGTGTAAGTACACTCTAGGATGTTTGCACAACAGCAAAATCACCCAGTGCATTTTTCACAATGTGTCTCCATCATTCAGCCATGCATGACTGTATGTCAAAGGTTTAAAACAATCAGGCAAAACAGAATTAAAGGTCACTGTAAACTAATAGTTATTCATTTAGCCAAAATGGTAATCAAAAGATTTCAAAGAAGCAAAAGTCTTTACCTTTTGAAAGAGAGGAGACTCAGTTTTCCAAATAATCGAAAGACCTAGTAAAGACAGCACAAGGCACAGAGAATCTGTTTCTCTTTCTTTCACCTCTTTTATTTTAGTTTACTCAAGAGATAAACAAAAGTCGTTTACAATAGTACACAAAAATCTTGTTTAAAACAGAAAACCAAATTTTATTTTTGTACCGTTGTACTATTAATACTATAGCTAATTTTGGCCAGGCATGGTGGCTCATGCCTATAATCCCTGCACTTGGGAGGATCACTTGAGATCAAGAGTAAGAGACC